GGAGCTCGGCGGCAGCGAAGCTCGGCGGCAGCGAGGCTCCACGCATGTCCCGCAAGAGTGCGCGCGGCGGCATACAGGATCTGGCGGCTGGCGCAGCGGTAGCGGCTGGAATAGTCGGCATATACTATTACACTAACTGTCATTTATTGTTTACGTTTAATTTTGCTAATAAATAAGTTAAACAGAAGAGTAAGGGACAAGAAAACTTACGTTAAAACATAGTAGCGTGAAATATTAAGTCAAGTTTATGCGAATTAAGAGATTTCATGTTAACGTTAATAAATAAAATAAATAATAAAACACTATTTATTGCCCAAAAAGAAAATTAAAGGAACATAACTTACAATTATTAATGAAATAAAAATAAAGATACAAACTCTTGGCCAAAACGAAAAGGCTCAGCTGATGCGGCCTCCAGCTTGTCACTGAAGGCCGCGCTGGTTTTCAGCCTCAGATGTATTGCAAATTATAATTAAAACTGTTTACAACGTACCTAACTGTAGTTGTAGAGTTAAATAATTAGGAACGGGAGTTCGTAATAGTTACTTAGTATTAAACAACATTCTATCAAAAACTTCACAATCAGTGGGTAGTTATGAAAAATGTTATACATATGAATTATTAATAAAGAATGCCACATTCGATGTTTTAAACATGTGTGGACATGTAGTTATGTGAAAATTTAATTATTAAAATGATTTTATATGAAACGAAACAAATGAAGGCAGATTAAACTCAAAATGGAAAATTTAACAAATTTACGAATTTGTATTTAAATAAAATGTTACTTCCTTTATCGAGCTCCATGTAGCAATCCTTCATCACAATAGCCGACTACCGACTATGGAATCCAATACAAACCCAATTCGAGTAGTTCTCTATTGCTTTATTCGTGACGTCTTTCTCGGTCGAGGTACAGGCGCAGGTTGGTTGGCAAATGGTTCAATTCCCGAACTTCTTCACGTCACCAATGTTTTTGACCTGAATTAAATGACTGATTATATTGTTTGCATATTTCAATTTGAAATTCACAAGGTTAGTTTCGTATGCAATTGAGCGGTAGTGACATATGACATCGCAGGCGCCTCTGCGCTGATTGGTCTCTGCACCCCGCTCCCCCATGCGTCTCGCCTTCCCCGCGGTAGCCTTATACGTCGTAAACAACTTGATATTTGCAAAGGTTATTAATAAAAAAATAGTTTATTTCTGTCGACGTATTTTACAGCAATAAATAAACATGAATTAATAATGAACATTTATTTGTATTTCAGCTTTCGCCCGCGACTACTTCCGGGTGGCATTATGAAAAACAAGAGTGAGTAGCCTATGTGTTCTTCCGGACAATCATTTACATCTATGCCAAATTTTATCGAGATCCGTTCAGATGTTTAGTCTACAAACCCTAACAACATCCATCCATCTAAACTTTCGCATTTATAATATTCGTAAGAAAGATTCGTTACCAAGACTTCGTCATTTTTTTCACTTAATATACGAAAAAAAAAACTATATGTCCAGTATAAAAAGTAATTTAAAAACCCTTGGATGTTAACTTTTAAATTTCAATTCCAGCCATCATAATTCTAAATTTTAAACTAACTGAAACTTTTCAATTCAGTCCAACGTTATATTAAAAATTGCTTGACCAAATTATTCAGGCGCCTCCTGGCGGGCCATTAATAAAAAGTAAAAAAGCTCAACCGGGGAGCTTTAAAATGTAGCAAAAGCTCCGCGGTGCAAAATCAAAAGTCATTAACGTCCAATAAGTTAAAAAGTTAAGCGGCGGGCAAATAATAAATCATTTTTTATTTCATCTCCGTACCAATTTTTCTGAGTCTCTCTTTTTTCATCAATTTAACACGAACAAAAAGTGGCACTCAATTGTGAGCTTTATCCCTGACGTGTTCTTTTTTTTACAGCTGGCAATCCGTTTAATAATTGTGTCCAATGAGCGGGGCCGTACGTAGCCCGCGCAACGCCCCGCCTCCCCATTGGCGGAGCGGCCACAGATTGTGCGATGGCGAGAAACGGATTTAACTTAAGGGCATCTCATTCTTGCGATAGTTACGTACTTATTTGAGTGGTTCAATATCGATATATCATAAATATGATAACCGAATAAATGATACATTCTGAAACTGTTTAAATAATTGAAACAAAAAATTCTCAATGTTGTCATTTTTAAACAGTTTTTTTCCCATTTTTTCATTACAACATCAAGTTTACGTCGTGATAAAAATAATGGTTATACTTTTTTTGATGATTTTAGTGTTGTTCTTGACGTATATATTAAAATATGAATTATTCACATAACATGTAACGAGCAAACTGTAATAAGCTCTTCACTTGATTAACTTTGTATTGACTGCATTGACATTTGCATTTATGAAATTGTTTTTGTATTTTAAAAGGGAATGAAAGAGATGACGATATGAATGTGCTGAAAAGTAGAACACGCACTGCTGTAATGATTAGTAACAGCAATTAAATCTATCGATAATCGAGAAACACATCACTAAAATTAATTGAGACGGACCGCATAAAGTTTAGCGGAGGCGATCACGTCTCGCCGCCAGCTTGAGTTTAATTCAGAAACAATTTCAACAAACTGTCTCAGGTTTGTGTTCTATCGTGACCGCTGTACTACTTTTTATTTTCTAACTATATACTAAACTAATGGGTTTTTCACTATAAGCCGGTTTCCCAGTTACTTTCAACCATTCGTTAGTACTTTTGATAACTTCATGAAATGCGTTCAAACACTAATGAATTACTAGGTATTGATAAAATAAATAGAAACTCCAACAAGCCTGCATTTTTTACGTAATAAAAACTGCCTGAATTCAATAATGTATGTTTCGAATATTGTAGTGTTGTATCGTATCTATATCTATACTATTATAATAAATAATAAAAACACACTTCTTTGTTGCCTAAGATCTCAGCAATTACAGCATAATTTTGAATAATTTATTTTTTAATCAAAAGCCCAACACTTACGTCACGCTTTAGGCTATATATTTTCACGCCATTAAACTTAGGGGTAAATATTTTTGATAAAAACCCTAATGTGGGAAAGAGACCATAAGTTGTTGCCAACATCAAGGAAGCAAGATTGCAAAGTAAGGTAACTGGTATTTTGACATTTCATGCGGATGAAGACGCAAGCGAAAACCTAGTTAAAATTATAAATACTAAAGTTTGATTGTATTGTTAAATGGTACCACGTAATTCTAGACAGTCTAAACGTTACGAAACTTGATATACGTAGTTGATTTTAACAGTGGTAGAGCCCGCTTTAACATCTTTGCAAGAATGGGCCGGCTCGCCCGGTGTAATACCACGACCACACAGAAAACAGGAGTGAAGTGGAAGCAACTCCGCGTTTTATTTCACACAGGAAAAAACGGCGGTAGCCAGTCTTACCAATATTTTGCAAAAGTTTAGATGGATGGATGTTTGTTACAGTCTATAGCATAAACAGCTAAACGGATCTATAGAAAATTTGGCATTTAAGTTAAGCTTAGTCTGAACATACGTTACTTGCTTTTTTTAATACCACGCAGACGGAGTCGCGGGCGAAAACTAGTATTAAATAAATCAATTATAGTTTGAATGCTGTAGCTTTTTCATAAGCGTATTTTTGTACATCAGTTAATAAAAAACTAAAATTAAATTCATCGAAAAAAAAGAGATAATTTGCTTATGTCTAGTATTTTGGCAGTGTAAACCCACGGTATTCTCATATAAACCAACAAGCCTTGTAAAGGATTTCAATTATTCGTGCCGTTATGTTTCCATAAATACATAGTCACACAACTCGAAGCTTAATATCAACATAATAGCGCTTGTTACAAAATGATACATGAATTACAAATTACCTGGACATCACTAAAGTGTGTTGTTATGGGATTATGTGATTTAAAAACATAGAAATAAGATTCAATTTGCATTAGCGGATGTAACAAATGACGATCGTTAAACAGATTAAAATATGTCTCCAATTTTGTTGTAATGACAGGTTGTTGTTGATGAGGGAATGCGTTTAGAATTGAATTGGATGGGAATTGAACAAAAAGGTTTTTAATATTATCTTTCAAAGTTGCAATATTTTTCTAAAAGTTGCTTCAAATAAATGCTTAATATAAGGTCTTAGTTTTAAAGCTTCTACATATTTTTAAATGTTTCCTGAAATATTTTTATACATTTCTGTACATCCACAAGTTTAATTACTGTAATGTAATCCATGAGGAAATTTTCTCGCAAATTTTCTTCCTGATTCTCTGAAGTTAAAAAAACACACCGGTGTTTTTCACCGACAATTATTTGGTATTAAATGTCCTCAATTATTTCGCCATCGCCATCTGTCGGCAAGAAGATCTATGTTTTGAAATAGCTTTGTGCCACTAGATGGCGCTTATTTCATTAACATTTTACAAGCTACACACCGAGTGACTCTTTACATTTGTTAAACTTATAAAAAGCTTTCTAATTTATTGATTTTAACACAATGTAATATATATAAAAACCAAGCTTACTAAATGATTCTTCCAAGCATTTTTCCTACTACACAAATGATTTTGAGATATTCCGTTAGATGGCGTATTTACAAAATTTCACTAGAACAATATAGTTTAATCTATTTTTTGGATTATCAAATATTGTCTAGAGAACAAATTGCTGATTTGTAAAGCGGTGTTCTTAATTAGTTTAAGTTTTTTATTGCTTTTATAGGGAACTGAATGAAATATTTGAAAAAATAGAAGTTTCAGGAGAAGAGAGAATTGATCTGAACAGGGAGGGGAGGAATATAATAAGTCACAAAAATCTCTCGTATAAGTAAGAGAACGCTATTATATTCTCAAATATTTTATTTATACAATCTGTATTTTAATTTACAATTTATAACGGGATGAAAGGAAAACATTGAGCAAGATATTTCACATTATATTTATTATGCGAAAATAAACCTAGCTTTTACATTCACAAGATCCGATTTATCGTTAACAATCTCGTTGAAGTAGCCTTTTACGCGAATCTTACTGAAATACTTCAAAGAGAGTTTCTTGATTTGGTTCTGTTTTGTACCGCTTAGATGGCGCCTCTAGATCTTCATTGTGGTACTCACAAGGCGCGTAGAACTGAAAGTTTAGATAAATATCATAAATCTTTTAGGTTTTTTAAATAAAATTTTAGTTTTCTCATATTTCTTATTTTATGTTTACGTTCTGTCCGTCTCCAAGTCTTTAAATAAAAAAAAAAAGTTTTCCTTAAATTTATATTTTTTACCCTTTCGTCTATCGGTTTTCCATCAAGAATGTACTTGAGTTTCATCAACTGACAAGGGGAGAAGATGCGTCCTAACACATGGTTTCTGATGCCATCTCTTTTCCCATTGGTCCAACCCCTTGAGTACTGGAAAGTCTGTGCTGTGACCGTACATACAGTCATGCACATAAGTATTAACGCCATATTTGTCATTCTGAAATCTGTAAACAGGAATTTATTATAAACATTTATAATAATGTTCTTTATACGAGACTAGCTGTACTCTGCGACTCCGTCCGCGTGAAAAAAAATAGTGTTAGCTTTTTAACCGTTTTGATGTATTCTGTATTCTTTAAAGTTATTTAGTCTGTGCTATATATAAATTGAAACTTTTTATCTTTATTTAAAACTAGCTGTTCCCGTGCGGCTTCATCCGCATGGAATTATGAAATTTTTATTTTATTGTTTACATTTGTCAAATTATCAATAGAAAAATAAAATGCCATCATAAATCTTGGCAGTCTTACTTTCTTGATGTTGGCAGCAACTTATGGTCTCTTTCACACGTTAGGGTTTTTATCTAAAATATTTACCCCCTAAGTTTAATAGCGTGAAAATATATAGCCTAAAGCGTGACGTTACTGTAGAGCTTTTTATTAAATAAAACAATTATTCAAAAATATGCTGTAATTGCTGATATCTTAGGCAACAAAGAAGTGTGTGTTTACGCTTTATTATAGTAGTATAGACTAACATAGGCTATAGTTTTATTTTTTAATTTTATGCTGGCGAAGTCACGAGCAACAACTAGTCAGAAATAAAAGTGTTGTATTAACTCGGCTAGACGACAGTCATTTTGGTAGTGGCGGACAAGGATTGTTGATATATGTAGAAACGGCTTTATTGGTGGGATTATTCTGTACTATTTCGAAGAAAACATTTGAGCTAAAGAAGACTATTTTATTGAAGCGTAATATGGCTGTGGCTCCATATTATGTTTTTTTCCAGTCTATGGTCTACATCTATGCCTTTCATAATGATCCGTTTAGCCGTTTAGGCTGCAAACTCTAACATCCATCTAAACTTTCGCATTTATAATAGTAAGATCAAGGAAAGTGAAAATATGAATACCGAAATGCGAACTAAAGGGATAACATTACATAGAGAGGTTTTCATCGTTAAACATTCGAATCAGATATCAAAGTAATTTTAGTCGTGGGTTTTCTTTGGTTTGCGTATTGTTTACAATGTGGGCGATGTTTTTTTGTTGTTTGACATCGAGTTTTCATTACCGAAACATCCTAAAACATTTTACAAAATATAAAACAGTTTAATAACAAAAACAAGTTAAGTTGTTAAGTTACAGTTAATATAAAAATAAAAAATAGTACACCGCCATATTGACGTCAATATGGCGGGTGTATCTTAATTTCGTTATAATTCCGTTCTAGAGAAGGTACAATTTTTTTTGAGCGAGGTACTAAATAGTACATTTTAGGTACATTTTTTTAGTAAATGGTATAATTTAATTAGCGATGGTACACCCGCCATTTCGACTCTCACTTCTTTCCAAATACGTTCTGTAGTACTTTTAGCTTTGGTTATTTAGAATAATCATATTATTGGCAACAGTGAGCTAAAACAATCATTGCTAGGCCAGCGCAACTGTACTACTGGCATCATATAAACCAGCTATAAGCAGTCTGTCATGATATATTGTTTCTTAAATCCTATTTTAAAAAGAACGCATTCATTTTATCATGTCTTTATTTAGTCAAGAAATTAGTTTAAAAATATTCTCTTAAATTTAATAGGAATAATTACAGGGCTGGCAGTAAATCGAGAAGATAATTAAAGTGTCCCGTCACGGTTTATTTGAACGGACATATTTTAACTCTAGCTTTTACCCGCGACTCCGTCCGCGTGAAATTAAAAAAGTAGCCTATGTGTTATTAGCCTATGTCAAACTTCAATCAGATCCGTTCAGCCGTTTAGGCTACAAACTCTAACAAACATCTATCCATCCACCTAAACATTCGCATTTATAATATTAGTTTGATGATTATTTTATTAATAATTACTTTATTTATCTATTAACTTTATTTATTACTAACAAGCTTTCGCCCGTGACACATAGGGACACACGTAGGATTACAAAAAGAACAAAAGTACATGTTTTTCCAGACTGTGTTCTACATGTATGGCAAATTTAATTAAAACCCGGTCAGTAGTTTAGGCTACAAACTCTAACAAACATCCATCTAAACTTTCGCATTTGAAATATAAGTTAGAAGTAAAATTAAACGTTTAAGATATAATATCCATTTACCTTAACTTGTGTATTGTGTAAGCAATACTAAAAGTAAAACATTTATCAATTACTTTTACTAAGTAAGGAAAATCACTCTACGGTGTTCTTTGTCAAATAAAAAAAAATGTAATAAATACTTATAAATTCAAACGTATGTACAGTTAGCTTCTCTTCAGGTGTTACAGTTATGGGAATATTACTTCGAAACGAACATAAACTTCAATCCTCACCAATGTGACAAAGCGTAAACACACACTTTTTTGTTATGTAGGATGGCAGAAATTACAATACATAAATGATTATTTTTTAACAAAGAGCCCTGCACTTACGACTCGCTACAGACTATATATTTTCACGCTATTTAATTTAGTGGTATGAAGATTTAAAATTTTAATAACATGCGGATAGAGCCGTAGGGAACAGCTAGTTTTAAATAATAATAAAAACATTTATGAATTATCAGCGCTGTATGTATTTAAAAATGAAAAAAAAAGGAATTTGTCTACCAATTACACACAGCGAAGATCGATTGATATTATAAAAAAAACTTACCTTTAAAATCCAATATAAACCCAGTAGTTTCAATCAGAAAGGGTAATGTCTCAATTAAAAATAAACAGACGAAATTTTTTTCACAACACTCTGTTCGGAGGGATGGAAATTGACTACGGCGTTTGTAACAGAATTCAACCCCTTTTATACGCCAGGGGCGCTATACAGTGATCCCAACTTCTAATTAAGTACAAAACAAATTAATAGATACGATAATAATATGCTTAACATATAATTATATCACATATGTGTAACATGTAAACAAATTATATTATTTGTTAGTAATATATATATATACATATAATAAAATTGGAGTGTCTGTAATAGCAAAAGAAAAATTCCAGATGTCGCAAAGATGACATATTTGTGTTGCAGATAACGAAAATCGTATTTCTTTTTTTTTGTCAGTCTGTCTGTCCGCAAGCCGCGTTTTTTTCCGGGTATCTCCAAAACGGATAGACTGAGTTCGATCGGATTTTCACTTATGTAGCTGACATAGACGGGCATATTATAGGCTATTTATCTTATCTTAATATTGCGGGGGTGAAGTCGCGGGCAACAGTTAGTTAAAATTAAATTTAACTACGGATGAAAATTATATAAGACATTTTGTATAACAAAATTGATATTATCTCTTGACACTAAAAAAAGATTTTCACGTGTTTATTTAATGAAGTTTCGCTTTTGTTTTTTAAAGACAAAGCAGTGTGCATTACTACGCGTTTGGGTCTCGCGGCAAAACCTAACCTTAGATATAACCGGGGGAGTGAAGGATAATGTGGTACTTACCAGCTCGATGCTCGCCTCGCCTTCTGCTGGTGCCTGGTCGCTACCGATGTCAATTCTGTAGGTTCCAGCGATGCTGTCTGCAGATACAACCGTGTGCATCGTAATTTTTTAAATGCGAAATTGAAAATCAAAGCGAACCGTCGCTAGAAAATAAGATATGACCGTTGTGTCTTTCGCGTTGTCGAACAAGCAACTACTTCCGATGACCTTGTAATTTGCACTTTTTGACCTACCGAGACGCTTAGCTCATTGCACACGATTTCTTCTGCACAACTCGTTGCAGGCTCGCGTCTATAAGTATTCCAATCTACCCACTAGTGCGGGTGAAAAAAAATTCGCCCGGTTACCCGCATTAACCCGGACCGCGAAAAAACATGTTCGTCGAATGTGGCGAACTCGTACGATCTGTACCGAACATGAATCATTTGACCAATGTTGTTCGTGAACATTCTTAATAAAGTATCGAGTTGAATACAGTTTCATACGTCATAGGTAAAAAGGAAAAAAATAGTCTTATGTAGGATTACTAATAAGTTAATTAATGGGAAGAAAGATCTCGCAATAAATTCTTCATACTTTGAGGTTATTTTTATTAAAACATCATATTATCAAAATAATGGAAGTTATTAAAATCGTAATAAACAGTACGCGGTTTTTACGACGCCATTATAGCACGGCCCCCGGACTTGCCGTCGGCAATGCAAGGTCTGATGCAACCTTTACGTTAAAGTTAAACTATGATCAATGTATAAAAGAATATTAGTTACCGTTTACTTTGTAAAAGGTTATGAATAGTTATAGATAAAACGCGTAGGTGTTTAATTACTACCTCTTATTGAGCTACACAGCAATTGAATCTTCTTAGTTTTCTTCTAAACTCAAGAGTATTCTTAAAACTCGTATTACTGTAATTACTAATTTAAGTAGATATTGATTCTATCGTATATTTTTAACCTACTTATAATTGTGGTTTTCCATAAAAATAAGGATTTAACGGATAGTTAACTTTTAACGGAGAACGGTGCTACTGTTACCGCATATTGCGTTTTAGTCTCGAAAATTTAACGTCGCAACGTGCATTGCCCTTTTACTAGCCTATATTATATGAGGGTGGAAACCCTAGCGATGTATTCCGTACTAATTAGTTCCCTTTAGATCATACGTTACCTAAGTTTGTTATTCGGATGACGTAAAATTTATTTAGTCTTCTTGCAAAAAGGTCTAATTTGAATATTTCACTGTTTGGTTTGCGTCCGATAAAGTTATTGTTGAACGAGGTGATAAACGAGCAATCAGTCACCTCATATCGCTGAAATCTTACTAATATTATTAATGCGAAAGTTTAAATGGATGGATGGATGGATAGATGGATGGATGGATGGATGTTTATTAGCGTTTGTAGCCTAAACGGCTGAACGGATCTCTATGAAATTTGGCACAGGTTTAGAGCATAGTCTGGAAGAACA